CTCGCTGTTTCCTCTGACCCTTTGTGTGCTAAATTTACCTAGCCTTCTTTCCGCATTATATGTCCCAGTCAATTCAAAAGTCACTTTCATTTTCTAAGTAAAAGCGTTTTTTTCCCATTATCATTAAAACTTCCTCGTTACTCACATGTTCATTTCGGATGCCCGGATCTTGTAAGGGAAATCGTTGACCCCATTCCGAATTCCATTCGAGTTCGTTTCATTTACTTACGTGCAAATACACTTTGGAAAATTATAGAAACATCTCTTCGCTCCAGCTATGGGGAAAATAGTAGCGACTGTCACATTCACAATGACCAAATAAGTAGAATCCCCATGTTTGATACACATATGTCGCACTTAGTAAAACTTTTTATCACTTAAATCTTTCAGTGCTACAACTCTCAGTATTTGGCTGCATGTGATTTCTGGCTTTGGTTAAATCTGAAATAGTCATTAAAACGTCGAGGATGAGATAAGGAGGACGTGACAAGGCAACTCATCGCGATCTGAAAAGAGAAAGTTATAGACAGTTCTTAAAAGTGGCAAGAACACTTATATAAGTTTATGAGGAATAAATAGTAGAACTTGTATCTGGAAAAATAAAAAAAAAGAAGAATTATTCTCAAAATTCAACAATAATTATAAAATATAATTTGGCTTTAGATAACCCTCAAATGCATGATTAAAAAAAAAACTTCAGTCCAAGGTATTCTCAGCATCCTTCTGTAGAATCACATCTTTATTTCCTCAACTTTCACCTGTGATGAAAATTTCTAATATTCACTGCCAGAAAAGAGGACTAAAACTTAACAGCTCATCACTTTTTTCTTTGTTTGTTACGAAATTTTCCTGTTTCTTAATACTTTGCTTAGATTTTGGAGGACATCTTTTATTCTTGCAATGCACTTACAGACTTCGCTGTCACATTTTCCGTATTAAAGCACATCCCAAGATCTGTAAATTTTTGTGCATGCTTGCTTTTGTTTATTTTTAATTCGTAGCTCAAGTTTTTTTTTAACAGAGGACGGACAATACTACATCGAAATCCAAAGGCGCATTTGGCATAGCGAAATATTCCTTCTAAGAGGTAAAAAATATTTTTAAAAAAAACTCGAAAATTTCGTTATAAAGAAGAGTGTATAGAACTGTTACGTAATGTCAGTCCTACTATATGGCAGTGAATGCTGGACAATCTCTTCACTGTTGTAGAAGAAACGTGTAACAACAGAAATGTGTCTGCATCGTGGTATACAGGGAACACTATGGATCGAACACATGAACAACAACAAGGTTTTCAAGAAAACGGAAACTAACAGGAGGTTTCCTTTGCTCACTTGTTTCTAATCCTCTTGGAAAAGGCATGAACCCACTTATCCCTGCATTCTTTTTCATTGTCAGATATATTGGTTAATGTCTCGTGGCTGTTTGGCGATGAATCGGGCTAGATTTGATAGAGAAGTGTGGCTGAGTGAGAATTTGGCCAAAAATCTCTGCAGAGCCGACTAAAAGAGTTTACTTCCTTCATCAAACATAGTAGTAGTAGATATATTTGGAATTCTGTATAGAACGTAAGCATTCACTTTGAATATTCTGAGAAATATATGAGAGACCTTGATGGCACATGGGTATCAGTTAAAGGCGACCTGATTACGCGTACC